GGGCGGGGGTTCTCACTGTACAGGCCACGGGTACAAGCCTCACCCCTCCTCCCCAGCCACCTCGGAGCAGCAACACAGCCAGCAGAGACTCCATGAGGTCACGAGAGACGGAGCCACCCGCAGCCAGCACCGAAAACTGGGGTCCCAGGGATGGGCGGTCCCACTGCTCCAACTGGACTGGCCAAATGCTAGAGCACAAGCTGCAGCTCCAGGATGGCTTTTCCCTGGAGAGGAGCAGTGGGATGGAAGGGAGGGGTTGGGGCCAGCTGGGAGGAAGGAGATGACAGCAGAGATGGAGGCAATTGGGGCTGGCAGGGGGTGTTTTGCTAGGAGCTCCACACCAGCTCTGCCAGGGCAGGATAACTCGCATGCAGACCCCGGGAATAAGCAGACAGGCTGAGCTGAGCGACTCAGTTGCTTTATTGATGGCCTCTGGCATCCCAGTCAATGGGCTGCTTCACTCGGTGATGCTGCGGAAGGACTGGACGGTGGGGCTCGCCGCTCCCCACTCCACGGGTTTGCGGTACTCGCCCTTGGGCAGCAGGTACTGCCTGCCCCGGTAGTTGGGATGCTCGTAGAAAACCCAGACACCCTCCAGCACTCTGCAGGCATGGATCTCACGCATGTGCCATTCCTCCATGACGGAAGGGCAGTCTTCGGTGGCTTCAAACATCCGCCCACCAAAATCTCCCTTCTCAAATACCTGGATGTGGCCCCGGCCTCCACTTGGCTGGAAAAAGAGGAGAGAAAATGGCAGAGTGCTGGAGGGAAGCACCAGTATGTCCCCAGCTCTGAGAGTCACCAGTGATGGGAGCAGCGCTGAGGCACGGTCACACTCCGATGGGGTACAAGCCATGCCCCCAGCACACCAGGACAGGGCTGAACAGCTCACGCCAGCCCCCAGAAGCACAGCAGGGAGGCAGCTGGGGTAACTCTTGACCAAGCATCACACGCAAGAGGGCATAAAAGCACCGAGCGGGAGCACTTCCAGCTCAAATCCCCACCGCAGCCTGGTTTCGGAGGGAGGAAGGGTGCAGGGAGGGACAAGGCCACGACAGCAAGTGCTGGGCTCTCCATCCCAGGCAGCCTGCCCATCCCGCTGCTGGCGTGAACCCTTCAGCCGCTCCGTGTGAGCATCGGGAGGAGAAATGGACCCCCTCCGCTCCCCGCTCCTCCCGGCAACGAGGAGTTTAATGAGCTGGTGACCCTAGCTGGGTTGTATTACAGGCGAACGCACTGCAGGTATTTTCCGCTGTGATTTGAAGTGCTGCGTTGCCTGAAGGCACTGCAGCAGTTTTAATCTGCAGCTGCCTGGACACCGTCTTCCCCCGCCTCCCCGAGCCCGATCTTGTCGTCAGCACCAGCCGAGCTCTGTGGGGTCTCTTGGGTCCGTGTGCTGATGCTGCTCCGGGGTGCTCTGACCCCAGGCCTGCGAGCATCGGGCCCTGGGCAACCTCCCCATGGGCAGAAGGGGAAGCCAGGCACCGGGTGGACGTGTGGATAGGCCTCCACGTTTCATCCTGATGGAGGGAGCTGTGTTGCTGTTATCTCTCACACGTGTTTTGGCTCCATCCCTTACACCAGATCAGTGTGCTGAACTGGCTGGAAACTCTCCCTGCCCTGTGTAAAGGGATTTAGGCCTAGCTCAAACCCAGAACAGGCTCAATGCGGTGTTACACCACCAGACATAAAAGAAACTCCATTCTCAGCTGTGAGACCTGCTCCATGCAATGGGAAACCATGGCTGTGCTGCTCAAGTCAGCGATGCACAGATTCCCCCCAACATCTCCCCCACCGCTGGCAAGGAGACAGCAGTGCTGGCACTCAGTGTCTCAACTCCAAACATCCCCATTCCCACCCCTGCCAGTTTTAAAGGGTGCTTCTCTGCACAGGCTTCCCAAAGCAACTGCCCTCCCTGTTCCTTTCTCCCCCCAACACTTCCACAGGATGTAAACCTTGCTGGCTGTCACCCTTATATCTGTTCTCCTGCTGTTGGAAGGATGAGCGCTGCCTAAGGCTGCAGACGCATCTCCCTGGCATCAGTTAGGAGAGGACAAGCGCAGTTCCTGTGCTGCCATGGGGAGACGAGTGTCGCCTCGTGCACTCCTAACAGCGGGAGACACCGCCCTGCTCCAAGCATGCCCAAGGCTGGCTTCAAGCATCACTCCCACCCCTGGGTCACTCCAGGTCTGCTCCTGGAGCTGGTCGCCCCATGTCCACGCTGCCCAGAGGGACTTGGTGACACTCAGGTTCGGTCCCCTGTGTCAGAAGGGAGTCGTGGTTTGCTAGAGAGGCAAACAAACTGCCCCTTGCTCTGGGTGCTCCTGGAAAATCCATATCCCACTGTCACAAGCCTCGTGCCCACCGGCAGAGTCAGAGCAGCCAGCAGCAAAGCAGGGGGGAACCAAGAAGCAAACCTCGGAGCGACCTGCCCAGACCTAGAGGCCTCTGGAGGAACAGGCAGATAGAACTAGGTTGCTGTTCCTTTGGAAACTCGCCCACGAAGCAGTCAAGGGGAGCTGCTTTTTCACCACTGTAGTCACGAGTGGAAGAGATTTATCTTCTCCACCCACCAAACACCTTGCTGTTCACAGAGCAGGACTGCAGCCCCAAACCCCCTGTAGCCATCCTCTCCAAGGGAGGTCCTGCAGGTCTGCAGGAAGGCAGGGGCCACCCACAGCCATGCTGAAACCCTCTAATGATAGGTGTGTAAATCAAAATGTCCCTCGGGAAGAGGTCACACTTACTATCTGGACGGCTTTGCAGGAGCCGAGGCGGTCGTTGAGGCCCATCCAGTGGTGGTAGTCAGGATACTCCCCGTGTGTCAGAACGTACATGTTTCCGGAAAAGTTTGGCCTCTCATAGGCCACCCAGGTGCCTCCATCCACCCGGATGGAGTTGCAGCGGCTCAAGTAGGTGTGAAAGTCGGGGCAGTCGCTGTCACACTCGTAGGAACGGCCTAGGAAATTCTTGTCTTCATAGAAGGTGACCTGAAAGACAAGCAGAGGCAGGAAGGCAGGGAGGTCCCTCATCACCCAGCGCATGCATGTGCCTGCATCCATACTCTAGCCGCAGCACGGCACGGAACGTCTGAAAACAAGATGTCAAAAAGGTTATCAAGGCCAACCTCTGAGCAGGATTGACAGCATCCCAGCCAACCTTGGCAGCCAATCACCAGTCTGGCCCCAACGCCTCCAGTTGCCAACTCCTTGCTCTTCCCAGCCCCTAGTTCTGTCCCAATCCAACCCAATGCTCCCTTGGTGAAGTCCCTCTCCTCTTTGCAGCAAAACACTATGAAAACATTTCCCTCCCACCTTCTCTAGCTTCATGGTTACTAAATCATGGCCAAGGGACCCAGAAGCTGCCAACAGACTGTACTAAGCAGAGTTTCGTTTATGTTGGCTTACCGAGTGTCTGCAGTTAGGGCTCTACTGATAAGGGTGCGGTGAGGTGGGTCTCCTCTGCGCCACGTCTTCTAGCCCTGCAGTCGTTCCCCTTGTTCCCACCTAACAGTCCACAGTTTGCTTTCTCAGAATTCAATGCCAAAAGGTGGACATTGCCTTGAACTTTACCAGTGCCAAGAAAAACTAAAGGACTGTTCCACGTACGTGGCGGATAGCCCAGTTCTTCGGACATCCCAGGACTGCATTCGCAGTTGGCTGTTTCTGCTTTGGTTGTTTCAAGTTTGTGATAGAGCTGACAAATTTCTGACCCATCACCACACTTCTTTCCCAAGGGCTGCTCTACAGCCAGGCAGCTGATGGCAACTTGGCTTAGGGACTCATTTTCCCTACTCCATCACAACCTGTTTCGAAATGATGTCGAGAGCTGGTGAGCAAATCCCATTCCTCTTGCTGAGGTAACACCAACCCAGCCAGGCCTGGAGAAGGGGGCACATGGTTCCTTCAAATAGCTCTTCATGGAAACGCTGCTGAGCCCTAGACCCAGGCCAGTCTTTCGTACAGCCCCACTTTCAGATCCTTCCAGATGACAATTATTCATCGAGAGCTGCTCTTTGCACTAAAGGTTCTGTACCATCATGTCTATTTTGACTATATCCCCCCTGCTTGCTTATGATACTGTGATGCCAGACAGTCAATGATGTCTCATCCCCTTCAACCTCATTCCCAAAGCTCTGCAGCCCCTTCTGAGCTGCAGTCCCACTCCTGTCCACGCAGCGAGCGTCCAGCACGGTCGAGGAAGATCTCTGCCCCATGTCTGTAAGACCCTGGGTCTGGTCTCCGTGCAGGCAGCACCTCACCGGGGCAGCGGGCTGCCTCCTCGGCAACAGAACGGGTCTCCAACACCGCTGGCCCTGGCCCTGCAGGAGCGGCTTTGGCCTTGCGGCTGGCATTCAGCAGAACCAGCTCCTCCTGCTACGCCCTCTCACAGCAACTGTGCGTGAAGTTGGTTCAACCGGCCCTTAATTTTGTAGTGGAAAAGCTCATTCGATTCTCCTTCCCCACCCAGACCAACACAACCGAACTTCAGTTTGACAAAGCCACCCGCTGCTCCTAGGAGGGTATTTTCCCTGTACGTATGAATCCACAAAGCCAAAGGAACCTGCGAGCACATTAAGGGTCTGGCCATTCCCACAGAACAGCGAACAACCACGAGTGTCATTCGTTGTTTCATTCTTAGACCATTTTTAGGAAGAGGTAAGGAGAGGCCTCCTGCCCACCCGTTCTCCACCACAGCTCTTTGCATGCACCCTCAATTCATTTCAGACCTTCCCAATCTCAGTTTTCCTCCAACAATCCAGGCATCAGCAGAGCAGACTGACATCCTTCACCCGCAGTATAACAACAGGCGAGCTACAGGAGCCACCAGTTCGTTTCCGTCGCGTCTTCCTCCGACACAAACCACCTTTCTTCACTGAAGCCATCCGGTTGCTGTGCTTACAGCACCGACCCGTTAAGCACCCGCTGCCCAGACTTGGCTTGTTTTGGGGCTCACCTGGCAGGTAACAGACTTGCCACAGCAGATCTTCCTACGGGAGCGTAGAAGCCTTACCCCCTTGGCCACCCCACAGCAGTTACCATACTCCTGGCCAGCAGCAGCTGTTAGAAGGAAACTCGCCAGCAAGAACTGTAAGCCGTAACCCACAGCACCCACTGCTGTCTAAGAAAGCAGCATGGGGGCCGTGACCACTTCCTAGGGCAGACCGCTTGCTTAGCTTGCGAGAAATAGTGTTTAATCCTCTCCTTTGCCCTTTTCCTCTCCCCAGAATGTGCTAGGCAAGAGCATGGCACAGAGGGAAGATGAGATTTGCACTCCCTCACTGACTTAAGGCCTCTTGGACATCTTGCTGCACCGGAGCAGCACATAACCAACCCATTCCCTGCTTGGAGGGGACACTGCTTTCAGCAGGGGTACAGGCAGCAAGTGTGAAAGTCTCTTTAAGCGGACAGGAGACTTGAGCACGCATCAGTTGTATTTCCCCAGCACCAGATTCTTTATACAGGGGTGAAGACTGCCCCACTGCATTCTGACAGCCAGCAGGCTAGAAGGCAGCAGCACCCCATCCTCGGTTCCCATAAAGACTGCTCAGAATGAGCCAAATTGCTTTGAGCCAAGATCACAGAGAAAGGGTGCGGAGAAGCGGAGACTGAATCCAAATCTTCCATAGCATCGACCGGTGCCTACAAATCACGCTGCTCCTGAGCTCCCTAGCCCTGCGGGTCTCACAGTGGCCACAGGTTAAAAAGAACGTAACCCAAAAGCAAAACTAATACAACGGGAAGATGTATGTCTGACCACAGCCTCTTAACAGTTGTGCAACATTTCCCAGGAGAAACTGGCCACTAGCCCAGAGTTCTCACTCTCCTTTCCCACCTATTTATCCCTGCCCAGTCCCAACCCTGCAACAAGGTCTGCGTGACGGACCAGCTCAGCTCCGCTAACGTCAAGGCTGAGGAACGCAGCACCAGAGCTGGATCCCCATCTGACACGTCACGAGCTGAAGCTGAGCTTTCTGATCTACCTTCTTCTCCAGTTCAAATTCATCTCTGCTGACACTGCCAAACCACAAGGCCAGTTCACATCCCTCGGGGAATGCTGTTGCCTTCGGTGCGGCGCTCATCATTCGGGCATCTTGCTGGTGCAGCACACCTTTGCTCCACCGTGGGAGGGAGATGTGGTGTTGGGATCCAGGTCCTCCCAAGGACGCCTTCCACGAGACTCTGCTCTCCAAGCGCAGCTCATCACACTCGCTGCTGGCACAGCAGCCCCCACCGTCAATTTACAAGACATCAGGTCCTGGTGCATTTTTAAATATCCCCTCACCAGTCACCGTGTTTGACTCGCAGAGCCACACCTACAGGAAACAGCCAAGACCTGGGAAAAGACTAGGGAGGGCTCAGCTCCAGCTTCCCACCACTTGAGGAGGGATTTCAAGCATCTCCTCTTGTCAACAGGCTGACAAGAGGGAGAAGCCGTCAGCAGAACAAAGAGACCAAAGTTTCTCCACAACTTACCCGATAAATTCTGTACTTCTCGCCACAGTCACATCTAGGACACAAATAAACTTACCTTGGTTCCAGCTCTGGACATTTTCGGTTCCAGCCAAGCTCCCCAGCGCTGGAGGAACGTCAGAAGCTGTTACAAACAGCCAGGAACCCAGACACCCTTTTTATAATGGGCTTGTTTTAAACCAGACAGCCGCTTTGTCATGAGAATAGGATCCAAAAATTGAGTCAGTGATTCTGAGGCTATAGCCAGTTTCCAGAAAAGCAAACAGGATTATGGAATAAAGGAAGGCTTCACCATCCTCCCTTTGTTACCATTTGCTGAGTCAGAACACCAAAACTCTGCCAATCGCACTCAAAACCCTCAGCCCCCTGCCAATTCCTGGAGGATGAGGGGCAGTTTGCCTGCTCTCTCCTTTACAAGCGCGTTAAGCAGGAAGGCATCCTTGTCAGCTCAGAAAGGCTCATCCCTGTTTGTAAGGAAGAGACCAAATATTTATCAGGGAAGGCTCCCACGCAGCGAAGGACACAGCTAGGGAACGGCCAACGCGTGCTCGGGGCAGGCACCACAGGCTTGCAGAGAACACCCTCCGCATCAAAAGCTCCCAATGGAAACATCCGTGCAGCAGAGAGGTGGTGTATTTTCCTAGCACATCCTCAGTTTGAGCTATATTGCTCCAAATGGTGCCTGAGAGCGAGGAAAAGCAGTATGCCTGGCCGTGCACCCCCAAAGTGAGTGGTTTCAAGCGTCAAATAGTACAGGACGGTGCCCAGCTTGCTGACAAAGTCTGCCAGTGTCACAAATGCAACTCGAAACCCCTACACCAGTCTGAGGGTTGAGCAAAAGTCTTTCTTTTAGCCCCATTCTGGCCCGCTGAGCGGGGAGGGCAAGGACTGCCAGCTGTCTGACCCAGACCCCCGCCCTCGCCAGCGCATTATTTAAAAACACCTCGGCAGCTATTCACTGCACCAGCCCGAAGGCTTAGCGAGACAAAGGGAAATGAATTTGGCACAGCAGGTCCTGAAACACACAGAGCCTGTTTCAAATCTGTCAGGACAAGCAGTCTCACAGCAGCAGCTCTGCGTGCCGCCCCGCGCACGCTGCCGCAGCCCCGCTAAACACAGCCAGGTAGGACAGCCTGGACAGACGTGCTCCGCAGCACCTCCTCCTCTTCCCGTTTCAGGTGTCTTGGATCACCTAGTGCTGTTGGTTACAGCTGTTACTGCTAGAAAGCTGTGAGGCCACTCCAATTTTTGGTTTTTTTCCATTCCAGTGCTGCCTTATGCAGATTCAGAGTTCAACCACATCGAAAGGCAACTCGGTAGGTTCACTAGGACACCTCAAAGCTCCACTGCGGTCACTTTGCACATCCCTCCTTTAAAAGTGGGTTAAAGATAATAAACTCACCTTGCATTTCATCACCTACCTGCCCAGGAGCCAAGAAACCTTCAGGGAAATTCTAGCATCCCAACAGCTTTGTACAGCTGTTTTGTCTCTGCCGCTTTGCCTGGCTCATTTAGGTGCTCAGCTACGAGCACATCTCCCAAAGTCAGGTTCCACTAGCCCACGTGAACAGTCTCATTCAAGCTGACACTCTTTACAAGAAATATTCAAGGTAGGAAAGGGCATTTGCATCCAAATGCTGTGCTGGGGCAGCCTGCAAACCTTCAACTCCACGGCTATACGGCTGACATTTCACTACGCAGCGAAGATGCCGAGTCCCCCTAACACCCACGGTGCAGGTAAAACCCCCTCCCAAGGACACATGCCAGGCTTAGCAGAGAACTCTGTTTTATTGACATCTGTCAAAATAACGCAAACGTCTAAGTAAGTTAATTCCATAAAATCCCATTGTTTAAGTGCTATCTTCATATTAAAAAATCCATTGAATGTCATTCATTTAAAAAAAAAAAAAATTCTCAAACATTTCTTTTTCACATTTATAAAACCAGCAGGGTTTGTACCCTACGGATGCACGCGATGGCCAAGGCCCCGCGTCCAGCTCTGCGTCAGGAAGGGCTCCTTCGCTGGATACTCGCACACTACGGACGCGAGCCACGATGACAGCCTCCCTGCTAACGGATCTGCAACAAGGCCTACTCCGTCACGCTTGAGAAACGCACGCCTTCTCGGTTATCAACAGAACGGTTATGGCACATGCCTGGGAAAGCGGCAGCGACTGGAAATCCGGAAGCAGGCAGACAGTCCAAGTCACGCTGAGGCTGGGCATCAGATCTACATCGAGTGTGTTCGGTCAGGACGGCCACAGAGTCTTAATGAGAACTGTTTTCAGTGTATGGCTGCCTGTTCCCAGAACTCTGTAACAAAATAAGACGGGCACATTTTACTCCTGACACCAGCAAATAAAAAGCAACTCAAAAGACTAAAGATAAGGGGAAAAAAAAAAAAAAACAGCTTTCTAATGGTTTGAAACGCGCAATGGCAAAAAACCACAGTAAGGGCTCATCTCCAGCTCCTAAACCATTTGTCCTTGGGGAAAAAAAAAGACACTACAAAGTAAGAATTGGTCAAGTCTCACTCGACTCTTAAGCAAGAAGCGAGAGGAGTAAGTACGGTGATTGATACACACAGCCCCTGTGAAAGAGCAGCCATCCGAGTAAGTCTTTACGTCAGATCCTGTACGACTGCCTATCCCCTTTACAGCTGCACACAGAGAGGTGCCGAGCACACAGGGAACAGACTCAAACTGCAAAGAGGTTTTGACTGCAAAACGAGAACTGAAACCAACTGCAAGGCTCGTGGGAGAACATACGCTCAACAGCCTCCTTCTTCCACCTCTGCCCAGGCTGCGTGTACAAACGTGGGATGATTCTTCTGGGTAGAGAAGAACAAAGAGAAACGTGCTCTGCTCACCCCTCCTTGCCTTCTGCTGTCCAGGAATATGACGCTATCCCGCTGCCTGCTTGCAGCCCACTGCAGGAGGGACGAGGCTATCCAGCTGCTGACGGTTCCCTGTCTGAACCAGCCATTCGTAGAACTTGTTTTCCACCAACATCTGGAACTGTTTCCTCTGATCCCTGAAAGCAAAAAAAGATCAGGAGGGAAGGATGTAAAGCTTGCATTTATTTACAGCATGATACTTCTCCCCTTCGCTACCCAAACAAGCCTCTACGTATCAGCTGAGAGCTGGGCTTGGCTCCTGAGCTGCCTGGGCCATGCTGAGGTTTCTACCAAGCGACTATTACTCTAATGAGTCCCAGAGGCAGAACGTGGTGGAGGCAGAGAAGTCATGCAAACTTCCCCACCCCACTAGCACAGCAACCCTGCTCCACAGGGTAAAGCTTCCTCCACTTTACTCTCAGAGCACAGATTAAAAACTTGTCTGAAAAGGGAGAAAAAGAAGATTAGTAACCAGCGTTCAAGCACTGAAGACACAAAGTTCTGTTCTGACAGCTCCTGAAAGACAGAGGATGGAGATCAGGGGAAAAAAGGCACATATAAGCAACACTCCTCAAATAACTGCCATGATGGGTAAATAGCCTGGGGGATGCTTTTTCGACCAGCAGAAACAGGGTACAACCCCTTAGCTCAGGCTCTCTGGCACCAGTCAGATAGCCAAGAGCAGCGCAGGCTGACAGCAGTATTCCTCCACAACAGCATCCCAGCTATATGGGAGCAGCTCAGCTCCACAATTTCTTAAGCCAAAGGTGGCACGAGTATTGAGTAACTCCTGCTGCGCTTCTGTTCTTCTAAGAGCTTACGCAATTCCTTTCTGAACCCAGGTAACACATGAATATTTTCAATGTCCTGTGGAGATTTTACATGGCTTTGCTTTGAACCCATTCCTTATTTGACATGCTGATCCCATCCTGCACTGGGAAAAAGCAGCAAGCCAGTCCTACTCATTTTTGTGCCACCCAGTTTCAGAGGCTCGGTGTACCCAGGCCCCTTTTTTCAAGTTAAAGGTTCTTCCTTGTACTATCGCTTCCAATTGAGACATTCCCCAGACAGCAGGGTTCTAGGACAGAAACTAACCTAAATTCCTCCCCAGTGGACGTGAACATAAAGGCAGTCACTTCTTTCTTCTCTTACGGTTTTATCTTCTCCAAGTGCTTTTTATATACCCTGATCTGCTACTGACCCTGAAAGACTTTGTCTGATACGCTCAGAAAATGAATAAACAGGATTTTATGCTTCTGCAAGTTGTTCCTCAAGCTGTCTTATTGGTCCTGTCTTAGGGAGGTTTTACTTTCAGCCTGCCAGGATTTACATTCTTTTTTTGCCCTACTTCCCTCATTCAGACAACTTCAACTTCTTGAAAGATGTCTTCTTATTTCTAACATTGTCTTTCACCTCCCTGTTCAAGCATGGCAGCTTTTTTCTTTCTACAAGTCTGAGATCCTGTTTGCTCTAAGCTTCCTACTTGTTTCCCTGCCTGCAGGAGACAGAGACATTTTACACTGTCAGCTGCCCAGGTTCTTTTCAGCAAGCTTCTACACTTGGCACCGTTTCCTCCTTTTAGGGGGAAAATCTAGGAAAATTTAGGATGTTAAATCTCAGCACATCATCCATACTACCTCACATTTCTTTAGCAGTAGGATTTTGACAGGCCAGACACCTTCACAAAACACCAGATTTTGACAGGCCAGACACCTTCACCTGGGGAAAGAAGCAGCCGCCCCGGGAGGACAATGGCTGGAGGGGGAAGCACCTTAGATGAGGCTGTCAGACACGAAAGATGACTCCAGCACAAGGGCTGGAGTTAACTTTCCTCTCTGCTGCCCCTGAAGACTCAGGGCTGCGAGTTTTGAAGGTTTATACACCTCTGTCACCACTACTGGGTCTCTCTCCCAGTGTAGAGCACTTTCAGACTTTAGGCTCCTCCACGCCCAGCACAGAGGCACCTGGATTTCAGAAAGGAACAAGGGAAGCAGAGGGAGCTAATCCAAAACAATGAACAATCCAATGTGCTACAACTCAGCCTGGTACGATGGGAAGTGTTGACACTCTGGTCCAAGAGGAGGTTTTCATATCCTGTGTTCCCACCGGGATAAACCCCTCCAAGATCACTGCAGATCAGCACACCTGTTCCAAGTCATCGACTGAGCACAGAGCAGGAAGAA